GTCACTACGTGACTCACCCCCAGCCAGATTTCAGAAGGAGCTGAGCTTGAGACACATCCTTCCTGTACTAACAGGCAGCTCGCACCCCAAGAACCTTCCAGGAATTAATCTGCTCAGTTAAAAGCACTTTGTGATTATACACAACCCTCCACGGATGCACCGTGACGTACAGGCACAGAGGAAGAGGGCTTAGGAGATGTTTTTGGGGGGTTTTGAAAGCCTGAAGATGTTTTAACGAGAAATCCTAAGGCTGCTTTTTGTGAGAACAAAAAGGAACGAAAGAATTCGAGGAACAAATCAGTGTCACAAACCCAAGTTTGCTCAAGAAAGACAAGTTAGCCTGTAAGCTAAGCTTGACCCCTAAAAGAATTAATTCCACATTTTTCAAAGGAAAAACTAACTTTTCCTAACAAAGCTTTGAAAGTCTTGAAGAATAAGCATGGCTGAACGAGAAAGGACCCCCATTGTGGGGTGACCAAAGCACCCTTAGGAGAAGGCAGACAGGAATTTTAACTGACCAGGAGGTTCAGGGGTACCCAGACATGTTATGGGATGGGGCTATCAGCTGACTTCCACCCCCAGAACCACTGCCCTGCATGCCAGAAGGGGTTTTTCCACACCACAGGCCTGTGATCAAACATTCCCAGCCCTGCCAAGCCCTGGAAGTGCCCACAGCACTTGCCCGAGCCCGTCTGCCGCAAGTGCAGCCCGAATTAAAGCGGGAGCTGCTGAAGATCAAGGGTGTTACAGCTACAAGGTGATTACTGTACGCTGACAAAATAAGCTGTGCAAGGTTATTTGCTCCGGGTTAGAGGGTACCTGGTGCGGTTCAAACAGGTTAAAAGGCTCCAGCAAGCAGCAGCAGCAGCAAGCACCACTTGCATTCCCATGGGATTAATGCCCTCCCTGTCCCGAGCAGGAAATCCCAACCCTGGGCTGGGGAAAGTGCCTGTTGAGCCCAAGGCACAGGAACATGGCCAGCACCAGCCCGTCAATCCCCTGGGATCGATCAGGGCTGCTGCCACATTTCCCAGAGGGTGACAGGCTGCAAGTGGGGCTGAGCTCCCAAAGCCCAGACACTCCCCACAGAGCTGAGCTGGATGTTTCCCCGGGCACAGCGTGGTATCTGAGCCAGCAGGACAGGCAGAGAGACCAGATAACATTCTCCAGAGTCACCTTCAAACTAAAAACAACCTCTCCCCCCGCAGAGGGAGGAGTCCCCGGGGTGTTAACAGCAGTGGGACGTGCTCAGGGTGGCAGAGCCTGGCCAGAGCCACACTGGGTCCAGGTTCCTGCCTGGCCTGACCTTTGTTTCTCGGTTTGGGATGGGGATAGTTGAGGATCTAACCCTTTTGGCCACTTAAAACAGCTATAAAATCTGCCCTTAAGCTTTGCACAGCCAGGTCAAAGTCAGGGTCCCTCCCCCTGAGGGCACAGAGTCCAGGCACACACTGACCCATGCTCCGTGGGGCGAGATGCTACCCAGTGTGCTCCTTAAAGCCAAACCTAAACACTGCTGAGAGGCCAAACCCCGCTTTTCAGGCACCGCTCTGCTCCACACCAAGCCCAGGCATGGCCAGGCAGGACACGGGCATTACACAAGTGATGGGCCAGCCTGTCCCTCCAGGGCTTCCCACAGCCGGGACAGGAGCTGCCTCCTCCTCATCCCGCTGGTGCCAGCCCCCCGGCTGGAGGGAGCTGCCAGGAAAGCCTCAGAGGCACAGAGGGAGCGGGATGTGGCCAAGCCGGGCAGCTCCAGGTGAAAATCTGAGCTTTAGAAGGAGGTTCTGCCCTGCGGAATGAAAACGCAGCTCTGGAGGAAGAAACTATTGGAACGCACGCTTCCCGGGATCCTCCCGCTCTTTCGCCTTCATTGTCGGGGTTTGGTTCTGCCGTGCTGAATTAAGTGCAAATAGGCTACAAATTGTTTAAGTATTCAAACGGGGAGCAGCCAGGAGCGGCGGCCAGCCACAACCCGAGCCTCTTCCCAAGGGCTGCTCCAGAGGCCCGCGGGTTTGCCACGAGCTCCTCCAGAACCTGCCAAGGTGGAAGGTGGAGCCCAGCCCAGGGCAGAGCCCTGCGGGAAGAGCTCTCGGTGCCCACCGGGGGCTGCGGAGCCGCCGCCCCGCACCGGAGCCGCTCCGCCCCGCGGATTATCCCGAACATCTTTAGGCTTTAAAGACTCCTTGCTGCTCCTCAGCCGCGGTAAACCGGAGAAGCGGCTGCGGGGGAATAAACTCCTCGGTTTTCCTAAGGAGAAAACAACCCGGCGCGGCTGAAAGCACCGGCGGACCCGGTCGCTCCTCCGGTTAAAGCGATCACCGGGCACGCGGCGCACCGGGGCATCCTCCGCCCGAGCTGCGGGACTGCCCGAGGGCTGAGCCGAGCCCGGCCCGGCCCGGCCATTCCCCGATAACCCCAGGGCGCCTCCGCTGCCCCGGCCCCGCCCGCCGCGGACGTGCCCCGCCGCAGGCGCCCGCGCCGCCGCTCCTCCCCCCACGCCCGCCGCTCCCGGAGCCGGCCCGGAGCCCACCCGCGGGGCTGTGATCGCCAAGGCCCCTCGGAGCCCCCCGCAGGACGCTCCTCCGTCCAATCCCCCCCGGAGCACCCCAGTGGGCCCCCGCCAACCCCCCGCCACCCCGGGCCGCCCGCACGGAGCGCCCCCAGCCCAGCCCAGCCCGGAGCCACCCCGGCTCGCCCCGGTCCGGTCCGTACTTGTCCCCGCGGCGCCGGCGGCCATCGAGCACAAGACGAGCAGCGCCAGGAGCGCGCGCGTTCCCGCCGCGCCCGCCGCCATCTCCGCACGCGCCCCCGCCGCGCCGCGCGCGCGCTATAACCGCGACCGGGGGCACCGGGGGAGAGGCGGGGCCATGGCGGGAACCGCCTTCTGGCCCCTCCGGTCAGCCAATCGCACGGCGCTGCGCCGCTCAGATCCCGCCCATTCGTTCCGGCGCGGCCAATCAAAGAGAAGATCACGCCGAGCGCCTTCTCCTCTCTCCCGGCCCCGCGGGCAGAGCCGGTTCGGGCCGGTCCCGCCCGGCCACGCCCACCGGCCGGGGCAGCCAATGGGGACGCGCCTTGGGGGCGGGGCTGAGGGTCCCGGGGGTGCCCCCGGTGCGGCCGCTGCCCCGGGCGGCTCCGAGGAGGGATGGGGGGGGGTGAGGGAGGCGAGCAGGTCTGCACGTGTCCGTCCCTGCCGAGCCGGGGCACGCACGCACCGGGGGGAGCACCGGGACGCACACGGCCCCCACGCCATGTGGCTCCTCGGGGCGCAGCGTGGGCAGAGTCACGGGGGAGCCAGCGGGTGCTCGGGCAGGCGGGTCCCCGGGCAGCGCCGGCAGCCGGCACGGCTGTACCGGAGGCACGCCGAGGTTCCCGGTGGCTCCCGGGGGTACACGGGGTGAGGCAGGGCCGCCTGCGGGTCTCCCGCACAGCGGGATGCGTGGGAAGGAAACCGGGCAGCGCTTCCTCGGCGCGGGGAGCCCGGCACAGACAATGGCTCCTGCGGACAGCGCGGGGCCGCTGCCAGGACTGACCGGCCGGACCCGGCCCGTCCCACAGCCCCGTGCTCAGGGCTGCCCCGAGCTGCAGGAATCGCTCCCAGCCGGACCGTGCAGTCCGTGCGGCCAGGGGGTCAAGTCCCAGCCTCAAGTCCCAGCTGGAGCTGCCTGATAACCCCGAGGGGCTGGGCAGGCAATAGCCAGCAAGGCAGCTGGGCAAAGAGGCCTCTGCAGGACAGCGGCTTTGTCTCAGCTCCACTCTGGAGCACTCACGGCAGGGGGTACTGGGCAGGGGGACAGGAAAAGCCAAAACAATGGGGCCATAGGCGCCAGCCCCCACCACGCTCTCCACGGGGATCTGCCAGCTCTTCCCGGAGTATTTCTTGCCCGTGTCCCGCCCAGCCTCATCCACTGGGCATCCGGGCTCCCCCTGCGCTGGGGGATTTGCAAATGCGGCGCCTGTGGTGCAGAAATTCGGCGGGGTGTGGTGCCCATGGCACCCGCAGGCTGAGGAGCTGGTCCTGATCTGGGCAGCCTCCAGCATCCAGCACTGGGGAGGGAACTGGCCACCAAGAGCCAGCAGAGGCAGGGGGCACATGGGCACGGCCATCAGATTTGGGGTGCACAGAGCAGCCCCCCGGGAAAGGAAGGAGAGGCTGGCTGTGAACAAGCAGCCGGGGGTGCTGCTCCATACCGGCCGGGCCGGGTGACCTTGGAAGCCGTTTGCCAGGCCTGAATAAAGCGACAATAATCCTATTCACCTTTTAGCCTCATTTCCTAAGGCAATAAAGCACATGCCCTCGCCGCGTGCAGTCGCAGGTGTCACTCAAGCCCTGATCCCATTTGCACGACTCCAGCCGAGGGAAGTTTTGCTCATTACCCCTCTGACGAGCTTTGTGCAGCAGGGGCAGAAGCCCCAGGCAGGCTGTTTGCCAGGGCCTCGTCCCTGCCCTGGCTCCGAGGCTGCTCACCCCATCCCACCCGGGCGAGGCGCCGGCAGCGCCCCGGGCTGGGAGCTCACCGCAGTCTGGGGAGCTCCCCGCAGCCTCCTGAGCCCGCATGTCCCAGCCAGTTCCAGTCTGTGGGCTCAGGGCACACCCAAATGGGATCAGAGCAGCCCTGGGCATCCATCAGCTACCACTGAGCACAGCCAGGCACTGCCCAGGCAGGTCTGCTGCCTGCAGAGGAGGGAGAAGGCAAACACCTCCGTGCAGCACCGGAGGGTTTGGCCCAGGCAGAGACTCAGTGTTGGCTGCAGCTCCAGGGCAGAGGCACTGAATGTGACCTGGGAAGGGCAGAAATGCTCTCCAGACCAGAGGCAACCCTGCCCAGACCCTCCTGCCCACTCTGCAGGGTGGAAAGAGGGTTACTGTGAGACCCACAGCTGCCCTGCAGCCCCAGGAGAGAGCAGCCAACCCATCCACCCACTGCTCCTTGCCAGTCCATGTCTGACACAAATCCTTTTAGCCTGGGCAGAACCTCACTCATGCATCACAACACTTCCCTGGAAGAACTTTATTAAATAGTGTCCAAAAAAAAAAAAAAACCAGAAGCAGAAATACTCAGCATGACCCCATCCCTCCCAGCGAGTTCAAAACCACAAACAGACCATCCCCACATGCCAGTGCTGGTGGCTGCTGGGCAAGTCCTCCCTGGTGTCCTTCTCCTTGTGAACACAGCTCCAGCATCACGGGCAGGGAAGGCAAAAGGGTCCTGTGGGACAGCCCAGATGGCTGCAGGATGAACCCTAAAAGATGTTGAAAGGCAAGACAGCACTCACATGTTGCCCCCCCACCAAAGCAACCACTCACCACCCCCACCAGTGCCCCAAATTGCTCCTACCCTGTGGGGCTGAAGAGAAGCTGAACTGACCCAAATGAGGGGCAGCCAACACCAGGCCTGGTTGTCACTCCTCAGCCAGGCAGAGCCACCAGCACCTCAGTTTCTGTGGCTTTGTGAACACCCCAAGACAGCTTCCCCCTCTCCACCCACCCCCAGGAAGTTTATAAAACAGGGGGTTTATCTTTTCCTACAAAGACAGCGATGGGATTTCCTTTGCAACAGCAGAACAGTCTCCCTGCGAGGTAGAGAGTTAATTTCAGGGCTGACAGATCCTAAATTCAAACCAGTTTGTTCTAGTTGAGGTAAAATTCAGTAGTTTATAGTAAGTTTTGCAATGCCAGAGGGCCATCAAGATTCCTCATTGCCGGAGTCATCCTCATCACCATAACAGCTCTCTGCTTCCTCCTCCATCTCATCATCCTCATAATAGTCATCATAAAAGAGGTCTGAGCCCTCATCTGGGGCTGGAGTCTTGGTCTTCACACAGTACTCAGCCAGCGTGGTGGGGACCTTCACTCCGTCCCGCTCAGCGTCCACCTTGGTGCCCAGCACCTGCTTCCTGGAGGGTGACAAGTGGGGGGTGAGAACAGAGCTCTGCACCACAGCCCTCCAGAGCCCGTGTGCCACAGGATCCCACACAGCAGTGCTGCCAGGGCCAGGCTCAGCACGCACCTGATGATGTCTGTGTACTCTCGGTCCTTCCCTTTGCTCTCCTTCCACTTGCGGTACATCACGGAGGCGTCCACGTTGGCTGGGGAAAACGTGTTGGGCTCATTCAGCAGTGAGATCACGCTCAGCAGAATGGTTCTGGTGTGGATGAACATGAGCAGGTCAGAGCTGAGGTGGCCCAGCAGCACCCCAGCAGTGCCAGCAGCCCTGCTCTGTCTGTGGGAAAGCCTTGTGCTGTCCACAGCAAGAGAGGTCCCAGCAAAGGGGAGCAGGCCAGGAAGAGAACAGCAGCACATGGGCTGCTGGGCTTACACTCATCCACACACAAGCTCTGGCTGTTCCTCAGCCAATCCCACAGCTTGAGAGCCTTCACCATCCCCCTGGCACCTCCTGCAGGCTTTGGGAGCTGTCCCCACCCTCCCACCTTGTCCTCCCTGCCCCAGGATGAGCCTCCTGCCCGCAGAGCCCCAGCCCTCACCGCACGTTCTGGGTGGGGTTCCAGCGCTCCGATGGCAGCTCCCCGCTCTGTGGGTCATCCACGGGCGGGTGCAGGATGGAGATGCAGACATCACCTGTCTGAAAGCACAAGAGAAACAGGATCCTCAGGAGCTGCTGCCTCAGGATCTCCTCGCTCGCTCTTCCCTTTGGCTGAAGCCAGGTGAGGTGACCCCAGCTGTCCCTTCAGTCCCATAGGAGGGACACAAAGTGGACAAGCACCCCATGACTGCCAGCACTGTACAGGTCAGGCTGCCCAATGCCCAGCAAGCTGTGCCCCTGGCGTGGGCCCCAGGGCCAGGCACGTCGCTCGCCCTGCAGCCACTCTTGGCATAGGCACAATGTCCCCAAGCGTGGGAGCCATCAGGCCTGCAAAGCCTGGCTGACCTGGAACCTGCTCTGGGACAGCAAAGAAAGGGCTGTCGTGAGCTCATTAGCGGTGTTCCCTGTGCCAGGCACTCATCACCAAAGGCACTGAGTGTCCAGTGCCAAAGGCTGGCATTTGCATCCAGTGCCATCACAACAGAGGCACACGTGTCCACTGAGGGTCCAAGAGCCCCCTCGCTGTCCCAGGGGTCCTACCTCATAGATATTGGGGTGCCACATTTTGGTTAGGAACCTGAAGGCAGGAGGAGAGTAGGGGTAGTCGATGGGAAACCGGAGACGAGCCTGCAAGGGAACAATAAGGAGATGAGAACACCAGCTTGTGAGAAGGGATGGAAACCACAGAGCCTGTGACAGCTCTGGGAAAAAGGAACCTCTGCCAAGCCCAGCTGGGCACCTGATGGGACAGAGCCTCTGCACCAGCTGGCTCTGTGGACAGGACACCGGCCCCAGGGCCAGCACGGACACCGGCCCAGGGTGACACTGTTGAGTCAGGGATGGAAAGCAGACTCCAGTCTTCAGATGGATCAGAAGGCAAAAGCGTTTAATGAAAGCAGTGGGTCTTTTATAATGTGGCTTGCTAAGGTGGTACTTGATTGGTCTCAAAGTAGAAACATCTCACACTATTGGTGAACTATGAATAGCACACTCTGGAGAACCGTATCTATAAACAACAGTTACAGAAAGAGAGATAATAATTGGTTTAATTATTTCCTCTAAGATTCCCAGGCTCAGTCTGGCAGAAATTCTCTCTGTTCTTTCTTCGACTGAACTGAGAATATCCACACCCAGGGGCACCCTCTCACCACAGAGAGTGGGGTGAGCAAAGGGGCTGTGACCAGCAGCAGCTCCTTGCCCCCCATCCTGCCCATCCCCTCCTGTCCAGCAGGGCCCTCTGGTGCTAACCCAGTGCTCTCCAATGCAGAGGAACCAGCAGGAGCTCGTGGTGTTGGCACCCAGCACAGACCCCACAGCAGCACGTGGAGCCGGGCAGAGAGCCTGGGTCGCCCCCAGAGCTGCTGTCAGGGCCAGACCATGGCTGTGCCCCTGGAGGAAAGGCTGTTTACTCTTCAGAGCTCACAGGAAGGAAGCATCAGGTGTTCGGTGCTCTGATGAACACACCAAATCTAAAAATAGCCTGTCACTGCTGAGAAGAGACCCAGTCCAAACTGGCCGCAGCGCACAGCTTGGGGGCTAAAAATAAAATCACATGAAGCTCAGGCTGCAGCCCAGGGCTCCAGCAGGGACACTCAGCCACCACCAGCTCCTCCCACAGCTGCCAAACCCACGGGGCTGAGGCTGGGCAAAGAGGGGGCACAGTCCCCCTCTGTCCACCTCTGAGTGAAGCCTGAGGGGGAACAGAGACCCACAGTCCTCAGAGGAATGCCCCAGCCCACCAGCACCAGGAATCCAAGAGGATGGGGGCAGCTTCTCCCTGAGTGGCTGCACAATTTCCCAGTGACTGATTCAGCTTTCAGCTGTTTCCAGGCCCTGGGAGCAAACTTCCAGATCAAGACTCAACATGACAATCCCTGAACGCTTCTTGCTCCCCCAGTTACGTAAAAGAGAATCCAGACACTGGATCCGTGGCACAGGGGGTGGGAAGAGGGAGAAGTGCGGTGGGGGCCGTGTTGTGTGTGTGGAGTGCAGGGCAGTGACACTCAGCCCCGTGCTGGGCTCTGGCCAAACAGCTGAACATGGCAGAATAATCCCCTTTGTTGTGTCAGAGGAGATCAGAACAAAACCAGCCAAGGCCAAGCGATGCCAAAGGGGGCTTGGACAGCAACAGCCCCACCCTGCAGTGCACAAACAAGTTGGTGTCCCCACAGGCTGGGGAAGACTTGGCCCCTCTGCTCTCCTCTTATGCACAGTCTCACCAGCACCCTCAGTGCCGAGTTTGGAAGCTCTCAAGCACACAACAGGAGCACGAGTGGCTGAAAGGGTGAGAGTTCAGAGGGTCTCATGCTAAAATGCTAAGGGGAAAAAAATCCCTCCACTTCAGTGAAGAGATAAAACCTGGCTCTGAAGCGTCAGCTTTGCCAGCCCAGGAAAACAAACACAGCTAACCCTGGGTGACTCACCCCGTGCATCCCCACCCTGACAGCAACAGGATGAAAACACGAGAGCTCCGTGGAGGAGGGAGGATGAGAAAGAGGAAGAAAACAGCTAGCCCAGGTTGCACAATACCTGGGAAGAGCACACACACATCCTGCCGAGGGGGGACTGTGCAGTCCGGCTGCCAAACACCTCAAACCCCAAACCAAGCCACGACACTCACTCCCCAGCCCAGCCCCCTGCTCCCACCCTGGGCTGTCTCTGCCTGCACTCAGGGGACTTTTGTCTCTTCCCTCCGGTCTGGTGGCAATGCCGCGGATCCCCTCCAGGAGAGGGAACCTCGGCGACCTGGAGCTCGCTGTCTGCACCCTCAGACCGGCGGGACAGGGGGGTGATTGAGGCCACCCCCAAAGGGCCGAATGCTCCTCACAACGAAGGGGACCCTCGGTAGTTTGGCAGCAGCCACCTGCGCAGCAGCTCCCTGCCAGGAGCACCCCCGAAGCCCCAGGGACCCCCAGGTGTCCAGTGAAAGACCCAACTCACGACCCCCACACCCACCCGGGACACAGCCCCCTCACAGGGTCTCACCCCTTCCGAAACTCTTCCCAAAACACGCAGCACATCCCCCGACACCGCCTGCTGTGCCTTCGCCCCCCCCAGCCCCGTCTCCCCCTCACACCCCGAGCCTTCCCCGCTCACCTTGAAGTAGCCGCCCTCGTAGTGCGTGTCCGGGGGGCCGAAGATGGCCACGTCCCAGGTGTACAGGTCCCCTTCGTCCACCAGCCTGACCCGGAACCCCTCCACGGGCTCCTCCTGCAGCCCCTTCAGCTCCAGCAGCAGCGCCTTCTGCGAGCTGGGCACGGGGGGCCGCGCCATGCCGGCCTGCCGGGGCTCTCGGGGGGCGCAGCGGCCGCTCCGGGGCGCGGGGGGGCGGCGGGACCGGGGCCACGCGGGGCGCGGCGGGGGCTGGCGTCCCGTCAGGGGCGTGGCTAATGCGGGCACCGCCCCTACGGGCACCGCTGGCCAATCAGAGCGCGGGGCGGGTGATGGGCGGGGCGGCTCCGCCGGTGCCCCCGGTCGCACGGAGCGAATCCAGCGATGGGCGGGTGCCCCGGGGCTCCCCACCACAAGGAATCCCGGCCCCGGTCAGCCTGCGGGTGGCACACCTGTGTGACAATTCACCTGGAAGAGCAGAGGATGCTCAGCCCAGCGATGCCTCCGGCATCCCCGGCAGTTCCCGGTGTGTCACATCCCGTCAGCTGTGCCTGCGTCAGGAGCCGCCACCCGCAGCCTCACCCGGGCCAGCACCGCGTCCTGCCTGCAGGGAGCAGAACATCCGCCCAACACAACACCCCGAGCCCGCGGGGATCCTCCCACCGGCTCTGCCACAGTCCCGCACCTGCTGCCAACACTAACCCCCGGGCACGGAGCGTGCCTCAGGGGTCCGGGCACTTCTGCAGCTCATCCTGGCACTTCATGCTGCCAGGAGGTAAGAAACTGGCCACTAAAAAATAATAAAAAAGCTTTAATGTCTTACAGCAAACCAGGAATTGAACAGTATAAATAATGATCAGACAAGTTTAAATAAATAACCCCCGGCCCGACACGCAGCTGGTCCCGGGGGAAGGGGATGTGTCTCATCCAGAGCCTGCACTCCACATCCCAAACCACCTGAGCCCTCCCCAGCTGCCCCTGTGCAGCCACAGCCCAGCCCCACACTTTGTTCCTTCTGAGTCACTTCACTGCCCAAAGCAGCTCTGCGGGTCACAGCCTCCGTGTGAGTCCTGGATAACCCTGAAAGGGATCTCCCAGCACAGCTGGGCCAGAGGAGCCACGCAGGGACACGGAGCTCCTGGGCACCATCAGAGCAGGGCAGGGAGTGTGGAAACCGGGAATCTCTTGCTGGGCACAGCAGGGCTCTCCAGCCAGCGCCCCGTGCTCACCGTCCAGCTCGGAGAGGGGCCCTCAGGGCCGGCAGCACCCACAGCCATCACTCCACAGGCTTCACCTTCGCTATGAACAGGGCTGTGGCTTTCCTCAGGAACTCCTCCCTGCTCATGGACGAGCCCAGCTTCCTCTCCTGCAGCGCCTGGTCCATGGCCAGCGCCAGTCTGTCGGGGCCCAGCCTGGAGCCGGCCTCCAGGTAGCGGGCGGGCCGCGAGCCGTGCCCGGCGCCCAGCGCGTCCTCCAGCGCCCGCAGCACGGCCTGGCACAGCCGGCTGTCCGCCGAGTCCCCGGCGCCCAGCACGGCGAACAGCGCGTCGGCCTTGGCCGCGAACTCCAGCAGCACGCAGCAGGTGAGGACGCCGTAGCGGAACACGTCGAACGGGACGGCCTCGTGGTCGCGGCAGCGGACGCGGCGCAGCAGCTCGGCCGCCGCCTCGGCCGGGGCCGCCCCGCGCTGGCAGATGCGCCGCAGCAGCTCGCTGTAGAGCCGCCCGTCCACGCCCGCCGCCCGCCGCCGCCCGCCGCACCCCAGCACCTCGTAGGCCGCGCCGGCGTTGCTGTCGAAGGCCGTCCTGTCGCGACAGGGCACAGACACAGAGAGGCGGCCTCGCCCCCCGTCCCCGCCGCCCCCCGCTGCCCCCCGCCGGCACCGGGGCGGCGGCCGCTCGCCGCTTCTCGTACGCCGCCATCTTGGACAGCACTTCCGCCCGGGCCGGAAGTTTTTGTGCCGCCATGTTGCACGCGGGCAGCCAATCGGTGGGCAGGAAGGCTGCGAGAGAACGCCGCCATTGGGCGAGGCCGCGGCCGCCATCTTGAGTGTGGGCAAAGGAGCCGTTGTTTTCAACGCTGCTGGCGCCGCTGCCGCCATATTTACTGAGGGCAGATGCCCCGCCCTTGGCAACCGGGCGGACGCCGCCGGTGCTCGGGGGCCGGTGAGGGGCCGCGGGACCGGGGTCGCCCAGGCCCAAAGGACACTTTGCTGAGGGCTCGAACGGACCAGGCACACGTACCACAGCGCCCGGGCCAGGCGCTGCGGAGGCCCCGGGGGCTCCGCCGCCGCCTCCGCCAGCACCAGCCGCTCGAAGTACTCGGCCAGGAAGGACACGGGCTCGGCGGGACGCGCTTCCAGCACCTTGAGCAGCGCCTCCCGCACCATGGCCGTGACGCCGGCTCGCAGCAGGAACTCCGCCGCGCTGCCCTCCGCCGGCCCGCCGCCCCCCGGCGCTGCCCGCCCCGGCTCCGGCAGCTCGCTGCCCCCCGCCGGCACCGGGGCGGCGGCCGCTCGCCGCTTCTCGTACGCCGCCATCTTGGACCGCACTTCCGCCCGGGCCGGAAGTTTTTGTGCCGCCATGTTGCACGCGGGCAGCCAATCGGTGGGCAGGAAGGCTGCGAGAGAACGCCGCCATTGGGCGAGGCCGCGGCCGCCATCTTGTGTGTGGGCAAAGGAGCTCTGTTTTTAACGCTGCTTGCGCCGCGGCCGCCATATTTACTGCGGGCAGATGCCCCGCCCTTGGCAACCGGGCGGACGCCGCCGGTGCCCGGGGGCCGGTGAGGGGCCGCGGGACCGGGGCCGCCCAGGCCCAAAGGACACTTTGCTGAGGGCTCGAACGGAAATAGCTCTTTATTGGAGCACCGGTCCCACCCGCGCGCCGAGCCCACCCTCCCCCCGGGACCTTGTGTCGTGACAGACAAGCGGCCTTCGTGCTCCCGCCCGTCCGCTGGTGCCGGGAGCCGCACGCACCGGACCCAGCCCGGTGTTCGGTGCCAGCCCGCGGGGATCCAGTCCCGGACGCGTCCCTGGCCTCGTCCCTGTGTCGCCTGTGCTCATTGCCCTCCAGGCTTTGCCTGCCGCGGCAGCCGCAGGCAGCAGCTCCGCTCCTGCTCCTTCTTGCTGGCCGGGGCCAGAGGCCAGCGACAGCCGGGGGACAGCAGGGACACGGCTGGAGGGCCAAGGCCACCAGCCGGCTGCTCCCCCTCTAGGACAGCTGCTACCGAGATCTGAATCGTTTCCACAGGCGTCGAGACACGGCAGCGGTCAGGAGGAGCCCCAGGAGCGATCCCGCTGTGCCCATAGCAATGGCAGGGCTGGAGCTGAAGGAATCTGCAAACACACGGAGCTGTCACTGCAGCCCGGGCGGGAAGTGCCGAGGGGTGGGAGAATCACAGAATTCACAGAATTCACAGAATCACTTGAAGAGACCCTTAAGATCATCGAGTCCAACCCAACCCCAACACCTTAATTTAACCATGGCATCCCCCCAGCACCACCCGCGGCACGGACACGAGGGGCCGCAGCCCACCCGAGCGATGAGGACAGGGGTCTGCAGGTCACCACCACTCACCATCCACCACCATCACCTCCAGGCTGACCGTCTGGGCGCGGTGGCCGAGCAGGACGCACTGGTAGTGGCCCTGGTGCCAGGGCTCGGCGCGGTCCAGCCGCAGGGCAGAGCTGCTGCCCGCCGCCTCCTCCCGGTACTGCGACAGGGCTGCGGGGGTCCGGAGCCAGCCCACCGTGGCGTTCCCGGTGCACCGAGCGTGGCACTCGATGCGCAGGGCTCTGCCCCGTGTCCCGGTGGGAGGCAGCGACCTGATCTGCAGGCTGCAGGCGGGCATTGTCCCCACGGGTGGCCCTGTCGCCGCTGTGCCACAGCCAGGGAGGGTGCTGGTGGCCACACCTGCCGTGTGGCTGCCTGCCATGAGGTCCTGGGGCACAGAGGGCTCCGTGGAGGGGGGGTTGGTGACAACAGCAACATCCAGAGTGGTGGCAGTGCTGGGCTCCCGTGCTGTGGTGGGATCACTGGCAGGGACACCGGGCCCTGGCGGGAGTGCTGTGGTGGCCACGGGCCTGGCTGTGCTGGGGCTCGCTGTGGAGGTGGCCATGGCTGCTGTCATCACAGCTGCAATCACAGCAGCCATGGTCACAGGGGACCTCGCTGCAGCCCCAGGCTCCTCCAGCCCTGGGCACAGCGAGCAGGAGCCAAGGGGCACTGCCAGGAGGGACAGGGTGGGGATGGGACATCCAGGAGCGGTGCAGAAGTGGGGGCTGCTGCTGCTGCTGCTTGGCAGAGCTACTCCGAGGAGCACAGGGCAGTGGGGGCTGGCTCCAGGGGATGGGCTACATGCGGGTTGGGGTCCCCAGCCCCTCCTGGCACTCACCCTCAGCACTTGCCACCAGAGATGCCACCCGGGTGAAGGTCTCCTGCCCGACGTGCAGCGTCACCTCGCACCTGAACTCCGCTCCTTCTGCCACCTCTGTGCCGCTCACCGACAGGGTGGAAACGACGTTACACAGCTCCTCCTCATCGGCATCCTTGCAGTCAACGTCTGCAAGGTTCTCCAGCACCTGGTGCCCCCGGTACCAGGTGAGGGCCAGCCCAGTGGGAGGATACACGTGCGTGGCCGAGCAGGTCAGGCTGGCGGGGTGTCCTGGGCGCAGGATGTGGGGAGCTGCCTCCAGCCTCAGCGTGTCTGGGAGGGCTGGAAGGGAGTCAAGGCAGCGTCAAGGGTGATTTTTGGCAGCACAGGAGGAAAAGGGCTGCCCTGGGGATCCAGGGCTGTGCTGGGAGGCGGTGAGGGACGGGCTGGGGAGTGTTTACCGTAGACCTTCAGTGTGACAGTTTTCTGGTAGTGCTGCCCGTGGCATTTGCCCTGGCAGATCTTCATGCCCTCCGTGGCCACGGTGGCGTGCCTGATGTGCAGGATGCTGTGGGTGGAGAAGGAGGAGATGGTCCCCAGGGCGGTGTCCAGCCCCCTCCACTCCACCTTGCCCCCTGCGCAGGCCAAGGAGCAGTTCAGCTCCGTCGAGCCCCCGAACGGCACCAGCGGCTCCCGCGGTGTCACCACCAGCCTGTCAGCGGGGCGACCTGGGCAGGAGGAAAGTGCAGGGTCAGGGGAGGGGACAGTCCCCAGCGCCCCGCAGCTCCGAGCGCGGCGACAGCAGCGGCAGGGGACAGGGTGGCTGTCACAGGGAGGTCCTGGGGCCGTGGGAGAAGCAAGGAGAGCAGCAGGGCAGGGCAGCACGGGGGGTTAGGGTGGCTCTTGGCCCCGTGGCACTCACCGCTGCAGCCCCACAGCGAGCCGAGGAGGAGAAGGACAGGAGCCGGCTCCATCACCCACAGGGCAGCAGCAGGGCTGGTTTTCCCTTCTTCCCTTCCTTCCCCCTTTCAGGGAGCGGGTGCTGCTGGCCGGGGCTGTCTCCTTCTGGCCGCCGGCTCCAACCTCAGCCCTTCTTAAGCCCTGTAGGAACCGCCCCCATGAGCACCGGCCCCGGGACCTCCACGACTTCCCGCCCAAGGGGTATTTCCAAAGGGAGGTTTCTGATTTTCTTCCAAGTTCGGCCCTTGCACAACACCCAGCCGACGGCCAAGCCGGCAGCCCCCCCAAACCTGGGAAATTCCCTGTCCTGAGGGATCTCCGAGTGGCTCACCCCAGCAGGGAGCCCTGCACAGGCACTTACACCCCAAGATGTGGCTCAGATCCAGCTCTATCCCTGTTTTTTGCAGGCTACACCACTCCCCCAGGGGTCCTGGCAAACCAGCTTTTCCATGACCCCAAGAGCTGCTGGGGACACAGAGCTGTGGAAAGGGCCCTGCCAGCCCCTGCCCCAAAAGCAGAGCCAGGGCCCGCGGTCAGCCCAGCTGGTGAGCTGATTATCCCTGTTTATTCCTCAAACAGGTTTTTTTCAGGGATGGAGGCAGGTGTTCCTGCCTGTGAGGGTTGGTCTCGTGGTACAGATGGAGAAAGTGTCACCCCAGAGAAGGTGCTGAACACCCTGCATTACCCAACCTCAAGGCCCTCAGCATCTGTCCTGGGTCGCTGCCAGGTCTGGATCACTCCCTCATTCCTGCCCAGCTCCCCATGGAGGGATGAGTCCTGTTCTGCCCCATCCCACCCTGCCAGGCTGCAGCCAAGGCTGGGGAAGGTCCCAAAGGGCTGAGGGAGGGATGTGCCCATCTCTGCACCCAGTGTCATCACAGGACCAGGACATTCCCCAGCTGGGAGCTGCTCTGAGAGGCAGCTGCGTGCACTGGGCGTGCCACTGATCCTTTTAGAAGGTCATGCCATTAATTCTCTTGAGGGTGCAGGAGGCCTCTGAGCAAGGAAAGTGCTCTGTAAACACTTCCCACCAAATGTGCACACTCAGCCGAAGCAGGTGATTAATGATGCTGGGCTTTTTGTTCCTTCCATCCTGTGTTAACAGAGCCACTTCCCGGATTTTCCAGCAGCCTCCAGAGCCCCCCTGCCCAACCCTGGCACAAGCCATGGCCAGGGCTGCTCCCACACTGCCAGGCTCTTCCCAGAAATTTGTGTGGGAACCTTGAGGACACACAGGTGGTGCCAGGGTTTCACTTCCCTCTTCCACAACCCTGATTGTGGCACTGGTGTGATGAGAAAACCCCTGAATCAGTGTCTGAATGAGAGCTGAGCATTGATGGAACCACCTCACCTTAAAAAGAAGCTTGCCCAGACATTCCTGAACCTCAAGAAATTAGCAGTAACCAGAAAGCCCCACACCTTGTGCTGCACTTTCTCTGTTTTGGGGCTTGGAGTGCCCAGAGCAGCTCCAGCCACCCACAGAGGGGGCAACACAGAGGAAATTGGAGTAAAAACCCAATAATCCTCCAGTTCCAATGGCTCAGCCACACAACCAGGGGCAGGTCAGGGGACTTGGCCCAGCTCAGGGTGACGAGACAGAGCTGCCCTTGCTCACCCTGAGTGGTGGACCCACCACAACTCCTGTTCCTCCACATGCTTGGTGGAATTGAGACTTTCCCCCAGCCCCGAGGAGCGCAGGAACAGCTCAGGGACATCCCCAGGTTGCGTGTAAAAGGGCAGAAGGAGCAAGCTTATGCACCAGGAGTGTTTTCCAGCCCACAGGAAGCCTTTGAAGGAGTGAAAGGAGTGCTGCTTTTCCAGACTCAGGGGCCTGAACACCTTTCCTGGAGGCCGACTGCGCTTCCTCCCTCAGGGCAGGCGCGGGGATTTGTGCTGGGCAATACTTTGTCCAGAGATGTTGCTCAGGAAACAAAACAGCTCAGTGTGGAGACACAAAGCACCAAGGGACAAGTGCTGGCTCCAGCACAGGATACCCCTCGGGTTGGGGTCTAGCCCCAGGCTGTCACCAGAAGGGACAAGGCTTTGCCACTGCCCCAGGGGGAGGGTGGTCACAACATCCTGCACTGCAACACCTGCCCTTTGTTCTCCAGCGCCATCACGTGAGACAAGTCACAGGTTTTCTCTCAATTAAAGATGGAAACAATAAAACAAAAGCTAGTTCCAGTCTAGAGGAAATCCATACAGAAGCAACAGGCTGTGTAATGGCTCGTGTTTCCAGGATACCATCCATCAAGCACCAGTTCCCATCCCAGAGCTGGCTTGGATGTGTTTATATTTTTTGGGATTATGTTAGTCATTTATGACTGTCCTCAGATGCCACAAAGAGTGTTTAAATGAGTCAGATAAGATCTAAATTAGGCCTGGCTGAAAAATTAAGACAATAGAGTCGGGGTTATTAAAACCAGTCCAGGAGGAGGCTGCAGTGGGGCAGGCAGGAGCCAGGGAGCTGCTGGGGCAGGGACTGGCAGTCCAGACCCAGCTCTCCCAAACCTGTCCCACATCTTCACATAATTCTCAAGGGGAATTTAAATTCTGGGCAGAAGCTGCCTGGTACCACTGGTGATGGAGAGAAATAAGGACAGAGACCTTTGACACAACAGGGAAGCAGCAGTTTAATAAATAATCCATCAGAGGGAGAGATTAGCCAGTTCCAAACACAACCTGAACCAAAATAAATACATTTTATAGTTAGCTTAAAAAAGAGACACAAACACACATGATGGTGAACTGTGAGAGAGCAGAGGTGGGGCCGAGTGCCCACGCTTTAAAGATACCACAGCTGTCAACAGCCTTTGGAGTGCAGAAAAAGAATAAAAACAGGGAAGTAAAAAGTTACTGCTTTGCAAAATTAATGGCAGAAGAGAAAGCAATGGTGTAACTCAGGTTTTTAATGCAACAAGATCAGATGAAACTCACTTGACCTGCCAGGACTGCTGACAGGCAATTGAGATGATTTTTGCCTTGTGTTTGGGCGTTGCTGTTACCATCCCAGGTTTTAAGTCCCTGCAGACAAATCCTGGGAATCCCAAAGTTAAACAGCCAGGCTCAGGCACTGCACAGCAGATCAAGCAGATTTTAAGAAAAGATTCCTTTTTAAAAAGTTGCGTTTTCATATAAAGTAACAAGAATTGGCAAAAACTAGCTGAATGCTCCACACAGCCTTTCCAGCCTCCACGTGGGACGCTGCAGAAGCACCAGCCCTTCAGAACAAGCTGTTCTTCATTTGGCTCTGGTAACTTCAGCTCCAGCACTGCCTGGCCCAGCTCCTGCTCCGTCCCACCAAGGCAGAACAGGGCAGGGCTCACAGCCCTGCGCCAAGGGAAGGGGAGGCACCGGGCCAAGGCCCCACCAAACCAGGTAAGAGGGACCCCACCAGGGTGGGAAGGGATCCCTGCTTGCTCCCTGCGCCTCAAAGAGCCCCTGCTGCCAGGTCTGCACACCAGCACAAGCCACATTTCTGTTGGTGATGGCACCTGGAGAGGTCCTGCTGCTGCCTGGTGCTGTACCCCCCTCCACCCACCCGCTGCCATATCCCCACCCCAGCTGCCCAGAGCTGTAACCCCCCTGGTGCCCAGAGACAGCACAGGTGACAGCACAGCTGGTCACCAACCAGGTCACAGCCCCTGAGCTGGCAGTCACCTGCTGGCAGCACCTGGCCCCGAGTTTGGGGGCTGACAAAGGGACCAAAACACTCCAGGGGCCACGATGCACGTGTCAGCATCACCAGAAGCTCAGGGGTCACATCGTGAGGGACGTGACCTGGGAGGGAAGATTCTGGACAGTTCTGGGGTCTGAGGGGAAGGAGAGGCTGAGAGCTGCAGGCAGCAGCAGTGGTGAGAGGGAATGGGACCAGAAACACATTGGTTTCAATAAACTATGCAATAAGGGAGAGGACTTTTAAAAATATATCTCTATATACTTTATATCATATAAATTATGCTTGTCTTTTTGTAACGTGTCGCTATATTGTACCCGTGAAGCTCTGAGGTAACAATTCTATATTTTACTTCATCTGTGTGTGAGGGAAAATCCTACTTCAGCTCACTTTAACCCATGTAAATCAACGGATTGCTGGGACTCTGGAAAAGTCCCGTCTCTAAAAAAGGCATTTTTGTGAGGAACAGAGGTGAGGGAACTAATGGCTGGAAGTGCAAGTGACAGGATTTCCTTCAGGATAAAAGCTTGCCATGCACACACAGTACTGACCATCCCACTAATGTTTGGGAATTGGGAGTGTCACCACAAGGAGCTTGGGAAAAATGGAGTCACAGCAGGTCAAGGAAGTTTCTGCTGGCTCTGCTCCCCAGACCTGCAGCCAGACCCATCTCAGCATCCCTCTGTGTCCCAGCTGCTCCTAACTCTGAGCACAGAGCTGCCACCAGGCCAGATCAATGCAGAACAAACTGCCAACTCTTTCATTTAAATACCCACCTCTGATAACCAAATGGCATTTGCAGTCACTGCTGTGTGTCTGCAAAGATCCACGGTGTAAAGGGGCAGCACTGCCTCCCTTTTGGCTGCTCTCCCCTGGGTAACCTTCCCCAAACCCACAGAGAGGGGATCCCAGCCAGAGAACAGCCAAGGCAAGACTGGTTTGGCTGCTGCACCCTCAATTCCTCTAACAAAGGATTCCTGAAGCGTCCTTGGTTTGGTCCTTACTTCCCAGAACTGCTCAATGCCACCACTTCTTATTTACTCAAATGAGAACAATTGTTTCCTGCCCCCTGCCACATTTCTATAAACAACCACACATTCCCTGTTTGCCTCAGCTCCTTTCACAACGCTCCAAGCACCTCCTGCTCTTTCTGAGCACAGCTGAGCCTGCAGCAGAGGTTGCAGTTCCACTGTTCCATAAACAAAAGCCTCCACAGCAGGCTCAGAAATGCCACATGGAATCCAAACCCCTAAGTCCAAATCAACTAAACCTTCACCATCAGGATCTATTGGGCTGAGAACAAACCAGCTCTGGACACTCTTTGGGTTTAGCATCAGATGGTAGGAGCCCAGGGGCAAACCAGCATGCTTTATACAATGCTCAAGGTAAACAGTCATTTCTCTGACCTTTCTCCCAGGAAACCACTCATCTCCAAAGTGCTCAGCACAGCCAAGCTGTTTCTCCAACCTGCCAGAGAATTGTATCTCCTAAACAACCCTCACAGCTCCAGGAAAAGATTTCTGAAAAAGAAAAAAATTCTTCTACCTACTGCCCGTGGAGGCAACAGGCAAATGCCACCTCAGAGTGACAAGAAAAAGAAAACCAAGCAGAACCACAGCCATTGTGACCTGTTACAACGCTGTGGCCCATTACAACACATCCAAGTGTTTGTAATTCATGGAGTTGCCCTTCTCTCACCTGCCCATTCTCCCTTGTGTCAGCTGCAACTTCTTCATTTTTATCCTCATCATCAGAACATGAAGTCAGTAGATTCATACTTTTTTTTGGTCTAAGTTTCACTTGGGGCAGAATGGGGCCCTGCAGCAGAGAGGAAGCTCAGAGCTCCACTCCCTGTGCTTCACACACCGCTGTCCCCTCAGCGTGTCACCACAGCCTGCAGGGGTGCCAGGGGCCAGCAGCAGGAGCAGCTCTGGTAGGGATGGGGCATGGAGCAAATGCCATATTTGATTCCAGGGGCAGCTCAGTGAGCTCCCAGCAAGCAGAGCCCACGCAGAGGGTTTGGCAGGGCACACAGGGGTCACGCACAAGGGCGGGTTTGCTTTCCAGAACTATCCCTCAGTGGAGCAGTTCCGTATCTCCCCTTTCCATCAGCACCAGGTGATACAATTCCATTTTTGCACCAGCTGGGTGTATTTGGCTCGAAGGGAAACCTCATCCCTCCTCAGTAGCTGTTAGTGGCACAGTCTGTTACCTTGGATCCCTCTCTCCCCCTCCCTGAACTCCTGCTGAGTCCATCCTTGATGTGGAGTCGAGCCCCGAGGCAGGTCCCCTGTCCCACCTCACACGCTGCTGTCCTCCAGCAGGGGCTCCTTGCCATCTGACCCCCCAGCTGGTGGGCTGTGGGGGTGGGCCTGGGCCCCCATACTGTGCTTCTTGTGGCTGCCTGACCTCAGTGCCAGGTTGTGTTCTGGAATGAATAGAGCCACCAGCAGCGACAGCAGCACGGAGCACGCCCCGAACAGGAAGGGTGGCCCAGGGATGATGCTGCTCTGGAGAGAGAGAGAGAGAGACAGGAATGATTCAAGCATGAGGGCAAACACAGCCCAGCAAACAGAGTGAGAAGCTAGACAGGTACCTCATCCGTAGGGTTGGCCATGTTGGGTTTGGAGGCCTTGCCCAAAGTTTCCACCTCGGCCATTTCGTTCAGCTCCACGTGGAAGAGATAGAAGACAAAACCATAGAGTGCTGGCCCCAGGCCGTTACACAGACCCCGAATTCCAGTGATCATCCCCTGCACCACACCTGGGGACAGAGGGAAGAAGGGGGAAATGCCTCCAGCTTTCCAAAGAAACTCGTTTTGTTCGAGGATACATATTTAGAGATATTTAGAGACAGGATCAAGCACTTGGATGATGTGCAGGGGGAGGGGTTTGCAGATGAGCAGCTTCACTCAGTGCCAAGTTCTAGAAATGTAATGCTGGGCTTGCTGCTTTGCAGACTGAAATAAGCATGGGCACATCAAGCAACAATTTCCAATTAACTAGAATTTAACTGAGGATTCAGAGATGTGCTGTGAGGCAGGCAAAAATGCAGCAGCCTCCTCTGCCTCAGAGGGACAACACCAAACACCCACTTGCATGATTTGGGAGTTCCCCAGTAAAGCACCAGCCGTGGTCAAAGATAAGAGTGTCAATACTGCTGCGAGCACAGTGACACCCCACAGCTGGCACAGATGTTCCTGCCCACCCCTCCACCACCACGTCCTTGTGCCAGCTCAGCTCCTGCTGGGATGAACCCCCCCATCAGATGAGTCCCCAAGCACTCACCCTGCTGGTCAGGGTCTGTGCTCCTCGACACCATGGCACTGATGGCTGGGAAGGTGATGCTGGACATGGCAGCCACAGCTCCTGCTGCCCACATCATCCTGGGGAGGAAGGAGGCAGCAGTGAGGAACAGCCCTGTGCCCTCACCCTGTGCTGCAGGGTGGGAGCGGCCACAGAGGGACAGAAATGTGGGTAAACCCTCACCAAGGCTGTGATCCAAAGCCATACCAGGCAAGCTGCAGGATCTGGAAGCCCAGGCCCAGGAGGATGGTGTTTTTATTCCCTATCGAGCGCATGAGAATTCCCAACACCACTGTCTGGAAAGAAAAACAGGTGTTTTCAAGGCAGGGGCAAAGAAAGAAGGCAACACCAGGAGACAAGAGCACAGGAAGCTGAGAGACTTTGATGATCCTTATGGGTCCCTCCCAATTTAAGGTCTCCTCTGTTTCAAAAGTCTGTGTGGCCACAGGAGTTCTGACAATTCAGCAGCCCCGAAATCAAAAATTTTGGACATTCTTACAGCAGACTGCTCAAGCCAACACAGAAATTGCTTCTCACCTGAGCCAGTATTGAGAGAATTCCAACTACACCAATAAAGGCTGCTACAGTCTCCGAGGAAAAACCAATGACCTGTGAAAACATCAAAGAGGGACTTTTCAGGCAGATGTGTACCAGGTGACAAGAGCCCCTCCATCAGTGTCACTCATGTTTACTGAACTTGAACCTGCACATTAACAGCCACTGCCTCTGGGCTGCCACAGGAATCAAACAGAAGATTTTCCTCTGGCTGAAGAAGCAGTTTTAAGTCACTGAGCTCCCCTTGCAGTGCCTGAAGCTGGCACAGCCAGGATGGCCAGGCAGACACCAGCAAGGAGCCAGGCCAGGTCTTGCCCCTGGCAATGCCAAGAGCAGTCAGCAGGCTCATACATATTTCAGGAAAGCTGGAACAAATCATTATTTCTTACAATTTCAGCTTTACTGACTTATTGGCCAAGAAAAGCCACCTTGGGACAGGTGACACATCTCTGATTTTATTTATAGGGCAGGATTTCCTGCACCCAGAGCTTTGACAGAGACTGACCTGTCGCAGGTACAGGAAGAAGCTGGAGTACTGGCCGGCCTCAGGAAGGTAGGAGAGAAAGACTGTGATGCAGATGAGCAGCACTGTGGAGTCCTGACCCACCTTCCTCAAGGACTGCAGGAAAAGAGGTGCACAACAAGAAAAAAACGTTTTTAAATTTGACTTTATATCACTGAAAAATCTGCAGGTACAAAGACAGCCAAGCCAAGGGCTTAACACCTTAAAAATCAGCAGGACTAAAGCAAACATTAAGCGTTACCAGCATACTGGAAAACAGCAGTGTTGGATTTTCTACAAATTTTCTACAATTTTTCAACAAATCCACTTCCCACACAGCAGCAGGCTCACTCACAGCGAATGGGTCAGCTTGTTCCCAGGAGATTGGGGCTCCCCAGGAGACTGGACGCATCTCTTCAGGCAGTGACTCGGGCACAGCCAGCAGGATGAAGCCAATATCCAGCAAAGCAACCCCTGAAGCCAGCACCACCACCAAGGTGTCACCGTAGGCTTGGGAAAGGTACGCGCCGATGGCCGGGCTGGTGACCAGGCTGGCAGCAAACGTGGCTGACACCTGGAAGCATAAAAATTCCCTACAGCCTCTTCTTCTTAGAGCTCATTTCCTCCTCCCCAGTGACCCAGGGAACTCCTTGTGGCATCTTTGTTGGAGAGGTAAATAAGAATTCACAGGGATTCCTGTGCAGAGACAGGTGACATTCTCCTGGTGCACCTGGGATAAGTTCTAGCAAAGGGGAATCAAAGGTGTCCTAGGAATTCCTGAATGGTGCTGTCAGTAAAGCTGCAGGAAGGGCAGGATCACACCAAGCATCCTCTTCTCTGGTGTGGAAAAGGGAAGGGCCAGGCTGGTTTATACACAGCCAGCACTCAGAGTGGGCAGAGATCAGCCTCCCCCTCAGAGCTAAAGTCCAGACAGAATGACAGTGAGACAGCATGATTAGTCAATAAATCTCCCACCCTAATTTTATACCTCTCCTACCTGCAAAGCCCCAGATATTTCTTTCAAGAGCCAGGCCAGTGACTCAGCTCCTTACCAGGCCGTACGCCGTGCTGCGCTCATGCTCCTGTGTGATATCAGCAACATAGGCAAAAATCACAGAAAAGGTGACAGCAAACACTCCAGACATGGAAATGACAGCAAAGTACCACCTGCAAGAGCCCAAGGCACAGTTAGAGAGCAGCCACACCATGTCCACAGCTGCTGAAGCAGAGCCTCTCCCTTGTTTTGCCTCCAGTCCATCCTGTTCCAGTGCACCAGAACATGAACATGGAGTCTTGGTCTGGAAACCCCTGAAGGCAGATTTGTTATTTCCCTAATAGAAATAATGCACTGAGCTGAGGAGCAAGCTCAGGGGACAGAGCAGCCCTTTATTCCCAAGTGAACCTTCCTGAACCAGACAAGTCAGTCTCTAGGCTGAGCACCCTCCTCCGTTCTTGAGACGGATGAGACTCTTCCATCTCATGCTGAAAGGAGCACTTGCAAACTCTCCTCCTTCAGCCTCTTGCTGCTGCCCCTCCTCAGACCCCTGGGGCTGGACTGAGGGTGAACTCACCAGGGGCTGATCTTCATCAGGGGAATTGGTGCACACGTGAAGAAGACGGTGAGAAGGAGAAAGGATTTCCTGCCCCAGACATCAGAGAGAGCACCAATCAGCGGGGCACTTAGGAAAGAGAGCAGACCCTGGGATGGACAGACAGACCAGAGGACAGGGAAACCCCTCAGTGAGAGCTTTCACCAACATCAGGACACAACCCATTCCTGACTGCTCCACGCAGCAATGCTGTTACAACAGAGCAGTTTATTAAACTCCCCACATCCTTTTAGGGAGGAAAAAACAAATCCTCAACCAGCAAAGCCCCACTGAGCCCTCCTGCTCCCTGCAGAGCTCTGCTGTGGGCACCCAGGCAGCCCTGCCAGGACCTGGAGAGCTGCTGGCACAGCTCCAGCATGGCAACAGCTGCTGCAGTTCTGGGGAAAGCTTTCTCTTGTAGGTGGAGACAGGACAGACACAATGAGAAGCCAGGGCCATTAAGCACAAATAAAATTATTCAAGGCCTTTCCATGTCTCCCAAGCCTGAGGCAGGCAGGGCAGAGCCTTTCAGTGCTGGGGCTGTTTTCCAAGATCCTCTTGCCACAGACAGCCAAGAACTGTCTGTGTTGCCTGATTCCCCAGTCAGAACTCAGGAATATTCCCTGCTCACAACTGCTGCCTGCAATTCTGCTCTGGGAATGCTGGTCTAGTGCAAGGAGCTCCCCACTCTCACAGCACATTCCCACCTCCTGCCTGGGTCACTGAGGCCACTTAGTTTCATCTTCTATCACTAATAAATTTAGACATCACTGATTTGTCATTCTGTTATGCTCCAGAGGATGGGCACAGGGCTGATCTCATGCTGATGAGATTATTTCCAGCTGAAACACACAGCTGTTGTAACTCCTGCTCAGTAAAATCAGCTGTCCCATGTCTGTGTCCTTCCTTTTGCATCAGGTTTGCCAGAGCCCCTCAAAGTGGCCAAATATTGGCTGATACCAGCAAACTATACAGGTAATAAAGGCTTGTCCTTCTTGCACCCATGGCAGATTTAAAGGAAATCCTGGAAGGAATATTCCTCACCTTGACTCCATGAATCAGACCATTCATCAGGAATGTGTGCTGAGGAAAAGTCTGGTGTAAGACCTGGAGGGAAAACAAACCAAATCCAAATGAAAAAGTCATAGTTAGCAACTTCTGCAAAATTTCTGTAAGCATCTGCCAGCCAGAGGACTGGAAGGGCACAATCCAGGGAAAAGGGGAAACATCCTGCCAACGATGCCTCCACGTGAGGAGCTCTGCCTGCCTTTTCCAGTATGGGAAACCACTGCCTTTAACACCTCCCAGGTCTATAAATCACTCCAGCATGCTCAGAGAGCCTTTCCCCATCACCTGAACTCCCTCTGGTTTTACTTTATGTCACCACATCACTTCTCTGCAGGTCTGTATGCTTGATTTGCATTTTATATCACCAGACTAATATGCTTAAATGTTTTTTGTTTTTTTTTTTTTGAATAACCAAAGAGTTCTTTTCCACAGCTCCCCAAGGAAAGGTCGTGCTAAGCTTTGATTTCCATTTTATATCACCAGACTAATATGCCTAAATGGTTTTTGTTGTTTTTTTTTTTGCATAACCAAAGAGTTCTTTTCCACAGCTCCCCAAGGAAAGGTCGTGCTAAGCCCTTAACTCTCAGGAGAGCCACCCTCACCGTCAGCATCGGCGTGGTCAGCAGCCCCCAGGCAAAGAACTCCAGGAAAATCACCACCACGGCGTGGTACACGCTGGGCTCGCCGATCCCCTGGCGCTGCAAAACAGAGCAAAACCCAAAAACGCTTCAGCAGCCCCGTCCCGCACCCGCGGGAGCCCGCACGGCTGGGGGACCCCGAACGCGAGCCGGAGATGCTGCCCTGGATCGTTCTTTCCGTTCACAGCCAGCCCAGGGGATGCATCCAGCCCCAGCGCACGGTGGGCATCCCCCGCCCGGGCCCGCGGCCGTTCCGCTGCCCGGGAACGGCAGCGCACGGGGAAAGCGGCGCCAACCGGCAGCGCCCGTCCGCGGCATCCCCCAGCACCGCCGCTCCATCGCGCCCCGGCCCGGCTCCAGCGGCGGCACCGGCAGGGGCGGTGTGAGAGCGCGGCCCACCGGGCACCGGCACCGGCAGCGCTCCGCCAGGCCCGGTCCCCGCCATCCCCCCGCGGCCGCTCCGCCCCCGGCCCTGCGCTCACGCCGGCCCCGTCCCGGATCACGATCTTCTTGGCCAGCAGGACGCTGCGGTTGAGCCGCTTCTTCTTCTTCTTCTCGCCGGTCATGGCGCCGCCGGGCCGCTGCCGATCACCGGCCGCCGCGGCTGCCCCATCCTCCCCGTGGCGGGCCGGGCCGAACCGGACCGGGCCGCGCTGCGCAGAGGCCGAGCCCGAGCCCGGGCCCGGCACCGGACCCGGACCGGCACCGGGCGGGGAGCGCCGGGCCCGGCGCTGAGGGCGGGGGTGGCGAGCGGAGGGGGCGGCCCCGCCCGCTGGCCCCGCCCCCGGAGCGGGAACAGGTACTTCCGGCGCGCCGCTCCTCGCGCCTCATTGGCTGCTCCGCCTCTTCCTCATCGGCCGTGCTGATCTGTGATTGGCTGGACGGGCCGTGGGGGCGGGAATTTCTAGCTGGCTGGGGCGGGGCCGTGACGTCACCTACCGGCGGTGGCGCCGGGAACGGGCGGTGGCACCGGCAGCAGCCCGGGGCGCCTTTGGCAGCGGCTACTGCCCCGTCACGGGCGCCGCTCCGGGCTGGGCCAGGCGGGTTGAACAAGGACACGCGGCCGCCCCGGGGCTGGCGGTACCGGCGGCTCGGGAAGGGCCGCGTACTCTCTCGGTACCGAGCTGCTGGCTGCGTCCTCAGCACCGGCATCCCGGGGTGGTGCCAGCCAAGCGCCTCCCCAGGACGGTCCCATCCCATCCCTGTCCCCGAGCCCGGTGCCGTGGGTGGGGAGCAGCTCCATCCCCGGTGCTCGTTAACCCCGCACGGGCCGGCGGGGCGTGGTGCTGATTTCCTCGGTGCGGGGCCAGAGGACATTAATTGGGCACGTTTAGATAATTTTTATGCTGGCCGGGGCTCCTCTACTCCGCCTTCCGCTCGGGGTGGCCGCCCCGAGCAGCGGGTGGCGGCCACGCACGACCGGCGGTGCCCGGAGGGGTCTCACCGGGGCCAGCGAGAGGCTGCCAGGGCTCCTGCCCGCCCGCGGGGCGCTAGAGGCTGCGATCCAGCCTTTATCCACGGCGGTTTTCCTTTAAGCAATGTTTAAACCCCAGGGAAACTCGCCTCAGGTAACTCCATCTGAAAGATGAAAGTACTCCCCCGAATTTCCCGGGATTTGTGTGGGTGCGGAGAGCAGCTCCATCTCCCCGGAGCTGCCGCACCGTGCCCGGCTGCGCCGGCCCCGGGCGTGCCCGCGGTGCCCGGGGCGCTCCGCACGTGTCACACCGTTGGGCAAAACGCCCGTAACCTCCGCGGGGACACCGTGCCCTCCCTCGGCCGAGCCCCAGCCCCCGGGAACGGGCTCCCTCAGGCTGGGCAGGCACCTGAGCCCCGCTTAGACCCTCCTGGAGCCGCTTATAAGAGCATGGAGGAGCCTGATTTATTCCAGTGCTCTTCAGCGGCTTAAAAACAAAACCAAGGAGAGAGATCAGAGAGCAGGGAAGCGGCTCCCAACATGGCAACAGCAGATGTAATTCTATTACCTTGATTTATTGATCGCACTTAGAGCAATTACTGGCTCTCACCCCGTCACCTGCCGGGGAGCAGGAGACACTGAGGAGGAGACAAAGGCGGCTGTGCCGTCCGGGGCACGGCCGGCCCCGGGGGAGGCTCCGGTGTTGTTTGTGCCGGTTGCTGCGGGGGCTGGGGGGGTTTGGGACCCAAGAGCGGCCCAAGGAAGCTGAAAACAAGCGCTGAAAGGAGCCTGTGGTGCTGCGGGGATGGAACCCCAGCATGAAGAGCGCTGTGGAGATGGAGGGGATGCAGGGCTGGGGAGAGGTGAGGGTCCCCGGGGCTCCAGCACAGCGGAGCTGCTGTGGGCAGCGCTCCAGGCGGGAGTGCGCTGAGCCGCTAGAAAAACGCCGCAGCTCCGGGCAGGAGCAAGGGCGAATCGCTCGATTGAGGTCAGAAAGTCCCTTTAAGGGTTTTGTGGGATTGTTTTCCCCCCCTGCTTGCTGCAGTTACAAGCAGAAAAAAAAAAAAAAAAAAAAAAAAAAAAAAAAAAAAAAACCAAGAAAATGTTTGTGCTTTTTACTGCCTGAGCCCTCCAGACAGATATAAACAAAGCGGGAGTCAGATCTGGCTTTGGAGGCAGATGAAATCAGAGCGACCAGTGGGCTGGGAGGCGCAGAAGTAGGGCAGCATCGAAGCCTGGCCAAGCCCTCCCCCGCCTCCCCTGCCAGCCCTGGGCTCCTGCAGCGCTTCCCGGGAATGCAGAGGTGGGAAGAGCAGAAAATGTCCCTGTTGTGGGCGAGGGCACTGCCGGGGGCTGCTGGCCGCTTTCTCTCCAGCTAAAGCAAAACGCGAGCGGGCCAGCCTGTGCCCCAGCCCCGAGGCTCCGGGAGGGACCGTCACCCTCCCCTGCCTGCTCCCCCAAGGCTTGTGGCAAAGCTGGAAACTCGCCGGGCCGGCTGCACCCCGCGGGCTTTCCCCACCAGGGAGCCAGCGGGGGTTCAGAGCAGGACGGAGGGCAGAGCGAGGGTGGCTCCGGCCCCACGGGGGGGATGCTGCGGTGCGCGGGGATGCTCGGGTGGGCGGGGATGCTGGGCGGGACGGGGATGCTCCGGCTGCCGCGGGTGGGGGCGGGGGAGGCCCGGGCTGCGGGGGGTGGGGGGGGGGGGATGCGGGGCCGGGCTGGCGGCGGAGCGCTCGCACCATGACATCAGCGCGGCGCGGCCCCGGGGGAGCGGGCGGGGGGTGGGAGCCGGCGCGGCGGCAGCGGAGCGGAGCGCGGCCCCGGGCATGCTCCCGGAGCCCAAGTATGACCGCTTCCGCGACGAGCCGCTGACCGCCCCCATGCCGTCGCCGGCCCCCGCGCCGTGCCCCGCGGCGGGCGAGGAGCCCGAGCACGGCACCACCTTCTGCGCGCTGCTGCCGCGGATGCCGCAGTGGAAGTTCCCCGGCTCCAGCGGCTTCCTCGGCCGCGGCCCCGCCGGCGCCTCCCGGGACGCCCCCGCCTCGGCGGAGTCCCCCTCGGGGCTGGCCGCCGTGCTGGGCGCCTGCGAGCCGCTCTGCGCCGCGCCCTGCGCGCTACCG